TACGGTGAACTGAAGAGGAAAAGATGAGAATAAATAAGTTAACGCAAAGACATTATTAATCTATGCAACTGTAACTGTCTGTGCATGTAACTGTCTCTGTGTTATTAAAGTAGATATGTTACGGATTTCAAAGTCAGGTTAGATTTGAATAGGATAAGTGTAGGTTGTTGTGAACCGAGTTGATCAAATATTACACACACAGGTAGTTTTTGTGCTATAGAATTAGTAAGTTAAACATGGTGAGATAATAGTCCAATATTACGGTATATAGTCAATGGATAGGCTTATACCCTTTATTGTACTTTCAATTACTATTAATCTTAAGCACTAAATACACAGTTAAAAATCCGTACGATATAATATATTGTACGGGTTTTTTTATTTGTATAGGCTATTTAATTATTTAACATTATATATTTTATATATAATTTTAATATTATTTAACTGTAGCTATACGACTTTACTCAATTGTTTATAAACTGAGTTTTACCATATGCATTTTAATAGGTGTGCGTAATTATTATACTTTATAGATACGTATTGATCTAATCTAATTCCATTAACAGCACGTTGTTACAATGCTATATTGTCCTCGCTATATAGCCTGGACGAGCCTTGCTATTGTCAGTGTTAGTAACAACGACGTGAATCAACACTTTCCCCATAAAATCAGCCATTCTTCAGTAATTAGAATTAAAAATATTTTTTCTTACATGTGTCTATACTATGTGAAACATACCAAATGGCAGATAGGCCTATCTGGATAACGAAGCGATTTTGGGAAAAATTTGATTCTTGATCTTCGTCTTATTGTTGTATGTAGAATCCGGCTATGTATATCCCGCTAAGGATTTTTGTGACACTCTGTATATACTTATACTAACGAAGTGATGAATATGAATATAAATACATGTCACAAACTATAGCTAGAGATGAATGAACCACCTGACAATTCTCAGAGTAGCTATAAATCCTTTCCAAAGTTCAAACAGAAAACATCAATCAACTTGTGTTACAGATGTGTCCGTCAGTAGACTCCATTGTCCACTTATATTTCCTCAAGTTTTCCAGCTTCTTGGCTGTAAGTAATTGTGTGGCTGAACTTATCTTTATTGCAATCTTTTACCATAAATTAAATTATATTTTATCATTATATCTTTTAAAAGCAAGCTTCCTTCTTAGAAATTCAAAAACTTTGCACAGTACGTTTCTTTACATAAGGACATCAACTAATTATCAATATTAATGTATAGCCTTTATCAAACGAAGATTGATAACTATTACTATTATATTAATTAATAGCCTATCATGGATAAATTACCTTGATTTTCATATATTCCCTTACATTTTCTTTAATACATTATTAAAAGTATTAATAAGTTGCCAGCTAAACGTAAAGTATTGACTGTATGGATCTGAGGTTATTTAAATTGCCATATACTGCATTACACAATGTAGGTATCACAGTAAACAATACAATAATATAAATTTCAACATATTCGTTAAAAAATGGGTTATTTCTAAGGTGCTTAAAGTGGGATAGGATTGGCCTGGTTAAATTAATTCTCATTTTTACAAGCAATTCATTGTTCGAAAAAACATGAAACTTTAGTTAGGTTAAAGTTTTATTGTTAATTGACCGAGTTGTGGTGTAGTGTTGTAAAACCGTCATTAAAAGTTCTTGCGTCTCGCGATACAGACTAACTAAAGTTGATCAGTTAAAAGTTGTAATAATGTTGTAGTAACAATAGCGTTGAATTTTATTTTTAGCAATAAGCCCTCCTGTCGTTGTTTGTTTATACTTTATTGGTATTTTGTATTTTTTAGCTATATCCCTATGACTAAAATGTTTAGTACAGTTTAACCTTTACACTTTTTTAATTTCCATTACTCTTAAGAGAAATAGCCTTCACTCGCTCAAGTTATCCTTTAAACTACGTATTTGGTATATCTTAAAATTTGAAAAATATAAAACACATTTAAAAAACATATCTACAAACAAAAAAAAATAAATAGAAGCAATTAAAATAAAAAAATAAAAAATGTATTTAAGTGATTAAGCTACATATAGAATTAAGGTGATTACTCTCAGTACTTTTTCCTCAGCACTTTCACTCAACACTCATCGATGTGCAGGGGGAAAGAGCTCAGTGCCAGGAATATTTGGAATAATGAATAATGAATAATGAATAATGAATAATGAATAATGAATAATGAATAATGAATAATGAATAATGAATAATGAATAATGAATAATGAATAATGAATAATGAATAATGAATAATGAATAATGAATAATGAATAATGAATAATGAATAATGAATAATGAATAATGAATAATGAATAATGAATAATGAATAATGAATAATGAATAATGAATAATGAATAATGAATAATGAATAATGAATAATGAATAATGAACAATGAATAATGAATAATGAATAATGAATAATGAATAATGAATAATGAATAATGAATAATGAATAATGAATAATGAATAATGAATAATGAATAATGAATAATGAATAATGAATAATGAATAATGAATAATGAATAATGAATAATGAATAACGAATAACGAATAACGAATAACGAATAACGAATAACGAATAACGAATAACGAATAATAAATAATGGATAATGGATAATGAATAATGAATAATGAATAATGAATAATGGATAATGGATAATGGATAATGGATAATGGATAATGAATAATGAATAATGAATAATTGATAATGGATAATGAATAATGAATAATGGATAATGAATCATGAATTATGAATAATGAATAACGAATAATGAATAATGAATAATGAATAATGAATAACGAATAACGAATAACAAATTATGAATAATGAATAATGAATAATGAACAATGAACAATGAACAATGAATAATGAACAATGAACAATGGATAACGAATAATGAATAATGGATAACGAATAACGATTAACGAATAATGAACAATGAACAATGAACAATGACTAATGAATAACGAATAACGATGAACGATGAACGATGAACGATGAACGATGAACGATGAACGATGAATGATGAACGATGAACGACGAACGACGAGTAGTGAGTAGTGAATAGTAAGTAGTTAGAAGTGAGTAGTGATTGGTGAGTTACAAATAATGAGTAGTGGGTGGAGAGTATTAAGTAGTGAGAATAGTGAGTATTAAGTAATGAGTAATGAATGATTAATGAGTAATGCGATATGCGTAATGCGTAATTGGAAATAACTAACGAGTAATGAGTAATGGGTATTGAGTAGGGAGTAATGAGTTAGTGAGTAGTGTGTAGTGAGTAGTTGGTAATGAGTGATGAGTGATGAGTAATGAGTAGTAAGTAGTGAATAGTGAATAGTGATTAGTGAATAGTGAAAGTGAATAGTGAATAGTAAAAGTGAATAGTGAATAGTGAATAGTGAATAGTGAATGGTGAGTATTGAGTATTGAGTAGTGAGTGTTAAAGTATAAATTCGCTTAGCCATCTACAGGTTTGCTGTGGAGGGTTATTTATCTTTTGCAGATGTAAGTTGGTGAAGCTGTGTTCTTGGAACGTGGAAACGACTATTGGCCAATCACTGCTATTGAGGGAGGTATTTATTCATATTCTTCCAAAGCGGGTCTTTTCCACCATGAACCAGTAAAGTAAAAAATAAAAAACTTTTCTGAAGATAATTCTATCGTAAATAAACATAGAAATAAACATAGGCTTGCTGTCGCAAATCACAACAGTGTCCCTTAGGTAAGTAATCGATGGTATAAACACGAACCGTTGTCTACCGTAACACCGCCCACCAGCGCGCCTTCCCCCACCACCGCGCCGCCGTGTCAAACGCCCGCCATGTTTGCGTGAGGCCGGAGTTGGCGCGAAATTTAAAATTGCATGTTAATAAATGGGCTGATAGCTCATGTTCAACCTTCGAGTTCTTACTAGAAAAAAATTAAATAAATGAGTTTTGTTGTGATAACATTTCTGTTAATACTAGTCTTTATTTACAATTACCTGACATAGCCAAAAATTCAGAGATACATGTAATATATCTACATAAATTGATTTGAACATCTGAACGAGTAGGTTTTCATTGCATATTCAGTTCTTGGGGCCAAAAATTCTAAACATATTTATAATCAAGCTTCTAGTATGGCAAGCATTCCTTTGTTTTATAACTAGAGAGTATATATCCTGGCTAAAAATCATACTTCGTTTCTAACTAATTATTAATGACCTAAAAGTAATAGTTGTTGTTTTTTTTTTATACAGTTATAATAATTTTGATTATAACAATCTGTTAGCACTGCAGAACTGTATGTAAAAGCAAATAAAAGTAATATATTATTTTATTAAGGCATGACCATGAATGCATTTTAAGGCCTCTTACTGTAGGTTATGCTTCTGATTCACTCACAAATAGGCTTCATTTACAAAATTCTTGAATTTGTTATATCAGACTTTTAAAGACACAATACCAGAAGTTATTCCTTACTAGATTAGAATCACCATTTTAAGGGTGATCAAATGAATTTCAAAATAGCTTATATTATATTAAATTTAGGCAATTAACAAGAGCATGAAAACAGTAAACCTCTGAAACTTCTTCTGAAACTTCTGAAAGATTCTTTCAAGTTAGGCTATGTAAAAATCCATGTTAGAGTGCTAAAAAATGTTATTTTTTTACCACTGTTACCGTCTGACTGTCTTGGCTATAAGTTGAGATCTTCATTAGGCAATTATAATTATTGTGAAACATTGACATTGCACAATTCTAATGCTGAAGGACAGTTAAGGATTTTGAATAACTTTAAGTTCCAAATTACAAGAATGAAATATTAAAAAATAAAATGACTGTGAAATAAAACAAAATATATTTTGCAAGAGTAACTTAACTTATTTAGAAACCCCAATAGGCACAATAAGAATTTTATTTATGAGGAAGTTGAGGTTTAGTAAATAAAACAAATTAATTAGTCAAATACAGTGTATTTAAACATTTGACAAAAACAAAGTGAATCTTCTTTTATCCAAGTCTTAGATCATTACATTTGGAGTTTTTTTCATTGGAGAAACTGAACTATCAATTTGAGTGTGTTTGCTGTGGTGGATTTGGCTGATGTCCGTTTGATTTTCCCTGTGCTTTGTCTTGGCGTCTTAATCTCCATGGGTTCAATTGGAGTCTGAAACAAAAAAGGCCTTAGATTTTTTATAACATTACTCGGTAAAAAAAATAAGAGGTGGTCCTTACTGATTCAGATTTTTAAACGGTTTCAATCAAAAAACCAATCAAGATTAAACCAAACTAGACAAAACTGTGAGTGTGAGATAATAATTCGCTTCTACTGAAATGAGCTGTAAAAATTTAAAAATGAAGGCTACACTTGCGCTGACACCAGGTAGAAGTAATAAAAGTAAAAATAATAGAATACTAAATCAGGTATAGTTAGGTTTCAAAGTTCCGTCAGATAACAAAATTACTTTACACTAAATACTTCCATGTTGCTGTGCCACAGGCCTTATATAGAAGTGCAACCAAAATTAGCTAATACAATTTATAGTTTTTTTACAGGGATTTCATTAAAATTACAGCCACTATTAACTGCCACAGTGAGAGTAATAAGTTAGTGTCACTATTACTCTCACTGTGGCAGTTAGGCCTATGTTAGGTAAGGTTGTCACCAGATTCATATGGCAGATATCGATCCGGAAGGAAAAATTTAGGATAATCTGAGGACTTTAAAACATTGCATGAATAACGATAAAGACACTTAGCACCTGAAATGTTGACACTGTAGGCTAAATTGTATTCTTTAATAGGACATCAGCCTAATTAATTTCTGAATATTATAGTAGGTAGTATTGTAGTTCTGATAGGGTTATAGGATAGGGTTATAGGTAAATATGACGCAGTCATACCGATATCATCGATCAACGACATAGACTTCAAGTATCCAAGTAAGTAAGGTCTGCTTGAGTTTTAAGGCCAAAATATTATCATTAGTTATAAGTTAGCTGATAAGCACCAATTTCTGTGTCTGTGAAATTTTGCGATGCCAGCTTATTTTTTCCTAAAATTAAGTAGGCCTATTCGTACGATCTTATAATACATGAAAACAACCTTAACATTTTTCTAAGGCACAGAATACTTTCATTTTAAGGTATTTTAACCCTCCAAGTGTCCATAGTAATGGTATTAATGTCCGCCCATTTATTGCGCAATCGCAGGACTTTATTAAAATGTAGGCCTACCTTAGAAACTGAAAAACACTCTAAAGTATACTGTTTTATATATCATATTAGTAGTGGTGAACCCAGAAAGATAAGTCACTTTAGGCGTTTTTTCCCATAAGAATAACATGGGGATCATTTTTTGGCCACCAAAACCAAAAATCCTGATCTTTGCCTAAATATCCCTATAAAATTGTTAAACCTTATTTCTTACTTATTCCCCATAAATATATTCGATATCAAGCTAAAAAAGCTATTTCTTATATTTATTTACCCTTACAAATGTAAATGTAGAGTAGATATAATATAGCAATATGACCCCACTTTAGGCACGTTTTCCCCATAACAATAACATGGTGAGCTTTTTTTGACCACTTTTTTAAAAATCCAGCTCTTGGCCAATACAAGCCTATATAAATGTTCAATACCATTGTACAACTCCATTACTATTTCAAATCCATATCTATTCACATGTATATTCTCAAAATCATGCGAGGTTTGTATGTGAACTTGGGCACGCTCCCGGTCGTGCTCCCGACCTATGGTCAGGCTTCTCGCTCCCGACTTATGGTCGGTTTTCTCGTCTCTAGTGGTAGCTCTTGATTAAGCCTTGGGTGGGTGACCTCCTGTTGAAGTAATTTCTAGTTAAATTGTTTAATTTTTTTTAATTTCTAGCTAAAAATTTTGAAAATTTCACAATTTCTGGTTAAAAAATTTTGAAATTTTGAAAAGTCTATAAATAGAAGTGACATTCGGGTGATATTTCATTCTGGACCATGAGGCCCACCTGTCAACACTGCTCCGTGTCGCTCTCCACCAAAAGTAACCTGATTCGCCACTACAAGGTAATTCATCAAATGAAGGTAAAACTGTGCAAAGTTTGCAATTTAATCTGTGATAATAATGTGGCTTTAAAATCACATATATTACAAAATCACAAGACTTGTAATTTCTGTAAAACGAATGTTGTTGGACATTTTAAAAGACATGCCAATTCTTGCATCAAATGTCCATATACAATGATTAAATTTGTCGGTGAATCGATTAGAGCTGACCTTGAAAATACACTGAAGTCTTGTCCTCTTCCGATAAAATGGACTTTAGTTAGGAGAATTAAATTTATGAAATATTCAATGGATCAAAATGGAAAATTAGTTAATGAGAAAGAATGTATTGTGGATTTTAGAAGCCTTACTACCTTAACTATTGAGAAGAGAGATTTAAAACCTCAAATTGAAAATTCACTTTTAAAGATTGATGCTTCTATACACAAATATCAAGCCCAAGGCAGTGGATGGATTTATGACCACACTAAGTATTGGCAGTTGCATATTTACAAGTATAAGCCCCTAACTCCAAAGTCATATATCCCTACACCAAAAAGTATTCAATCAAAACATGCAGTTTTAAATATTAAAAATGCTGATAATAAATGCTTCCTATGGTCAATTTTAGCAGCTTTACATCCAAGGAATTGTATCAATGAAAATGCTGAAAGGGTCTCTAGCTATGCACCCTACATAGGGCAGTTAAATATGACAAATATAAAATATCCCGTAAAAATATCTGATATAGAAAAATTTGAAACACAGAATAATATAAGTGTCAATGTATTTGGAGTTGAAGACCAGAAATTAATACATCCACTAAGAACAACTAAACTGAATAGTAATATTCATGTAGATTTATTATTATTACAAGAAGGTCGTAAATCACATTACTGTTTAATTCGTGATTTTAATAAGTTAATGTTGAGATCTACAAAAGATAACAATAAGAAGTATTTTTGTAAGTTGTGTTTGCAACATTTTTACACTAATGATATATTAGAACGTCACATAACATATTGTAAAAATTTTGATGCTCAACGAGTGGAAATGTCTAAACAAGATACATTAAAATTTAAAAATTATAAATATCAACTTAAAGCTCCATTTGTGATTTATGCAGATTTTGAATGCTTTATAAACTCTAACAACCATACTCCATCTGGATTTGCATTTGTCTTAGTGAGAGATTCTAAGATTATTTCTGAAGAGTTATATAGTGGTGCAAATGTTATGGATGTGTTTTTCAAAAGGTTATTTAAAACTTATGACTTCATTAAACGTCAAATGGCGATATATATTCCCCTAGTAATGACTCCTGAGCAAGAGGTATCTTTCCAAAACTCAACGCATTGTCACATTTGTGAAAAGCCCTTATATTTTGATAGGGTGAGAGATCATTGTCATTCATCTGGTCAATACCGTGGAGCTGCCCACAATGATTGTAATTTAAACTATAAAGTAACAAAGAAAATCCCAGTATTCTTCCATAACTTAAAAAATTATGATGGTCATTTAATAATGCAACACTTGGGAAAGTTTAATGATCGTAAATTAAATTGCATAGCCAAGGATATGGAAAAGTACATTTCATTCTCAGTTGATGATTTAGTATTTTTAGATTCCTATAACTTTCTGTCCCTTCCATTATACAAATTAGCTTCCAATTTAAATGCATTTAGATTCATAGACAATCCACTACTACAACGTAAAGGCGTATTTCCCTATGAATACATGACAGGACCAGATAAGTTTGCAGAGTCTCTACCCCCAATTGAATTATTCTATAGCACTCTAACTAAAGAACATATCTCTCCCATCGAATATGAACATGCTAAAAATGTCTGGACCCATTTTAATATAGACAATTTACAAGAATATCATGATTTATATCTTAAAACAGATGTATTGCTACTGGCTGATGTCTTTGAGACATTTAGAGACCTGTGTTTAAAAGATTATAAACTTGACCCCGTACATATGTATTCACTTCCAGGACTAACATGGGAAGCCTGTCTTAGAATGACTGGTATAAAATTACAATTATTTCAAGATATTGACATGCATTTGTTCATAGAAAGTGCAATCAGAGGAGGAGTCAGTATGATTTCCACACGTTACGCTAAAGCCAATAATAGATATATGGGCGAACATTATGATCCCAATCAAGAGAGTGTGTATTTAATATATTTAGACTGTAACTCACTATACTCTACAGCAATGTGTGAGACACTGCCTGTGGATGGATTTTGTTGGACGAATGAGATAGACTACAAATACAATCAAAATGATGAGTTTGGATACATTTTAGAAGTTGATTTAAAATATGATAAAAGCTTACATGATTTACATAATGACTATCCATTAGCACCTGAGAAAATGAATGGCAAATTAATACCTAATTTAAATGACAAAACTAAATATATTTTACATTATAAAGCATTACAAAAATATGAAGAATTGGGTTTGATTGTTACAAAATACCATAGAATTTTAAAATTTAGACAGTCTAAATGGCTTGCGCCCTATATTAATTTTAATATTGAAAAACGCAAATGTGCTAAAACTGATTTCGAAAAAGACTTTTACAAATTGTTAAATAATAGTCTCTTTGGTCGAACAATTATGAATCAACGAAGGTTTCGCGACATATATCTCAAGGATGAGTCACTATTAACAAAATATGTCAATAATCCAAGGTTTGATTGTAGCAAAAAGTTTGATAACAATTTACATGCTATACATTTAAATAAATTAGTTGTAAAGTTTAATAAGCCGATATATTTGGGAATGACCATTTTGGATATCAGTAAAGTAATAATGTATGATTTTCACTATAATTATATGTCAAAATTTAAGAACAAAAGATTTCTAATGACAGATACAGATTCTTTAATGTATTCTATAGTTACAGAGGACTTTTACAAGGAAATAGAATGTGACTTGCACTATTTTGATACCTCTGGATATAGTAAAGACCATTTCTTATACTCTGATAAAAATAAAAAAGTCACTGGCAAGTTTAAAGACGAATTAGATGGTCATATTATGTATGAATATTGTGGTTTAAGACCAAAGTTATATTCTTATATTCCTCTAAAATGGTTATATGAAGAAGACAAACA